GCTGAAACAAATATTTTATATTAAATGTGACAATAGTTCACTGCCATGGTATTTCACAACGCCCTTCACTTAATGATATCTTATGAAGTGTTTAACACTGGAGTTCTCAGTATTTCCTTTCGTGGGTGATAACACAATTAATCAATGCACCATGAAATGATTATTCAATGCACGAACATAGACATATATAATATAGATAAATCAGACATCAATAAATGATAATAACATATTTACTGGGCACATAGCCTAACTTCCAAATACTGGCATAAATATTATATATATTCTCTCACTCAGAATACATTAAAGTCTCATGAAAGACATTCTCAACACGGTAAATTCATCAATTAATCCGGGTGCCTGTACACACCAATAATAAACATAAATATCGTGAGTACTCTTGATAGTACTACTCTGCACACTGGTGCCTTACTGTGACATAGGTGAGCCTTGCTCACTACATACAAAATCCTCAGGCTCAATAATATAGCTGAATAATATAGCTGACTAAAGGGGAATTGGGAGGGAAACTAGAACCACCTACTTCCACCTATCCTCCGATGAGAGTTGAGTTGTAGCTCCTGGTCCTCGTGTCGGGAACGCCCCCACACACACTCTGTCGTGTCCTCCAGGAGCCCAATCACTGTCCCAACGTAAGCGCTTCGTTTCCGTGCCTTATCCCAGCAGGTCCGTGCTCCTCCTCGACTTCTTGTAGGGTTGGAGTCGGTCTCCCGGCCGTCGACTTCTCCCAGCTACGGCTGCCCGCCTACTTCTCGGCTGCAGTCGTTCGTATTCCCAAATAGTCCTCTTCTTCCTCTGCTACCCAGTGGCTCTGTTCAGCCACTACGCCGTCACGAATGGGTGAACTGCCTCAGACGTCACATACGTCACTTCACAGACTTCACTTCTTCTTGCACAGTACCTGTCCTGGAGCACTTGTTGCTCAATAACCGTCCATTCCCTCTCTGGTTCCACACATGAACAAAGGAAGACCTCACAGAGTACTGGCAGACTTCAGGTGACGCGTAAAATCCACGGGAGCGGGAAACAACTGTCAAACTGACAGGACCAATCTTCGCACGTCCAACCTCCTTGATGTGTCGTGTCTGACTGATGGCGCCAACACGGCGCGCTGCCCGGACCTCCCTTCCTTCGTGACGTCACATTCGCCACGGGAGGTTTTCATTGGCTCCCAGTGCCACATTGCTGTCGGTGACCAATCCGGTGTCACTGACGTCACACAGTTTTGGCGGGGAAACAAGAGAGCCAGCGCCATCTTGGCTTCCTAAAGGGCCTAAACCACAGGCCAAAATATTATTGTTTCATAAATTTCTCGGCACTCCGAGAACACTCCACTCTCCCACATATACCAAATTGATGCCTGCGACGTAGAGAACGCTTGGGTAAAGTGGACATGACTCTTACTGCAGGCGTGGGAGAAATATAAGGGGGGGGAACACCGTCACAATATATATATATATATATATATATATATATATATATATAAATATATATATATATATATATATATATATATATATATATATATATATATATATATATATATATATATATATATGTCGTACCTAGTAGCCAGAACGCACTTCTCAGCCTACTATGCAAGGCCTACTAAACACGAGAGTGAAGTATACAACTTTAGAACACTTTCCCACCAGGAGACTCGAACCCTAGCCAGCACAGAAGCCTTCCAGCAACTGGCATAACAGGTACGCCTTAACCCACTCCACCACCTGCTCAGACCCTTAAAAGAGATGGTAATTTCGGAGTATTTATACACTCCAAAGACTACCACCTCCCAAGAGCACTAGAGCAAGTGAGGGGTCATTTTTACGTTTTTTCATCAAGTCCCTGTTAATATGGGAGAACACTGTGTCTATGCTTAAGGCACAACTCTCCTAAACACGAGAGTGAATTTTACAACTTTAGAACACTTTCCCACCAGGAGACTCGAACCCTAGCCAGCACAGAAGCCTTCCAGCAACTGGCATAACAGGTACGCCTTAACCCACTCCACCACCACCTGAAAGTGTTCTAAAGTTGTATACTTCACTCTCGTGTTTAGGAGAGTTGTGCCTTAAATATATATATGTCGTACCTAGTAGCCAGAACTCACTTCTCAGCCTACTATGCAAGGCCCAATTTGCCTAATAAGCCAAGTTTTCATGAATTAATTGTTTTTCGACTACCTAACCTACCTAACCTAACCTAACTTTTTCGGCTACCTAACCTAACCTAACCTATAAAGATAGGTTAGGTTAGGTAGGGTTGGTTAGGTTCGGTCATATATCTACGTTAATTCTAACTCCATTAAAAAAAATTGACCTCATACATAATGAAATGGGTAGCTTTATCATTTCATAAGAAAAAAATTTGAGAAAATATAATAATTCAGGAAAACTTGGCTTATTAGGCAAATCGGGCCTTGCATAGTAGGCCGAGAAGTGCGTTCTGGCTACTAGGTACGACATGTATATATATATATATATATATATATATATATATATATATATATATATATATATATATATATATATATATATATGTCGTACCTAGTAGCCAGAACGCACTTCTCGGCCTACTATGCAAGGCCCGATTTGCCTAATAAGCCAAGTTTTCATGAATTAATTGTTTTTCGACTACCTAACCTAACCTAACTTTTTCGGCTACCTAACCTAACCTAACCTATAAAGATAGGTTAGGTTAGGTTAGGTAGGGTTGGTTAGGTTCGGTCATATATCTACGTTAATCTTAACTCCAATAAAAAAAAATTGACCTCATACATAATGAAATGGATAGCTTTATAATTTCATAAGAAAAAAAATATAGAAAATATATTAATTCAGGAAAACTTGGCTTATTAGGCAAATCTGGCCATGTATAGTAAGCTGAGAAGTACATTCTGGCTACTAGGTACGACATATATATATATATATATATATATATATATATATATATATATATATATATATATATATATATATATATATATATATATATATATATATATATATTGGTGTATACTGGCAGCAGGTTTTCTTTCAAACATGTTTCATTGAATATGACCGCATATTCTGTATTTATTATTTTCTGGTTTAGGGCTTCTATCCCTCTAACTATTTTCTTAGCATCAGGGCTTAATTGAAATAGGAGTTCTCCAAAACTCATTTTCGTACTTTTAAGGTGAAGAAAAGAAGTGATTTACTATAGAGTGTATTACACTTATTTGTATAATTTGCACGACGTTTCGAACCTCCATGGTTCATTCTCAAGTGAACAGATCTTACAATACTAGTTGATTTTATACCCGCATTAGGTCAGGTGATAATACAATGAAGGTGAAAACATGGGGGGATACATAAGGGATAAACATAGGGGCTGCAGAAGGCTTATTGGCCCATACGAGGCATCTCCTATCCAAACACAAAGATTAATCCAGTGTAATTGGCCTGTTATGTTGGACATTGTCTTCTGTGTTGGCATCGATATGTTCTTGTCTTGTCCTTACTCTCATGGTGGGTAGGTAGAAATTCTATGTCTTCCAGAGAGTGCACAGACGCGCTCCTTACAGACTGTGTCCTGAGAGTTCACAGCTGTGCTCTTTATATTGTGTATACTCCTGAGAGTACACAGACGGTCTCCTTCCAGAGAGTGGAAGTCAGTGACACAACTCTAATGCGTGATAAAGAGCAGACAGGCTGAGAGTAGTCTTTCACTCGTCCTCCATACAACCGCGATCTCGCTCACAAAGATCAGGACCTTATGGGAGTATATCAATATATTAACAGACTCTCAAAATATAAACAAAACAATCAGAGTTCTAAAAAATATAGAACAAATATCTTTACTTCGCTGAAGAAAACAGTTTGTTCTTGGTGAGAACCTTGTGTAGATGTAATAAATTGATGTCATCTACACAAATAGGTTGCAGTTTCTGCAGTTCTTATGTACTTTTAACTCTAAAAACTATATCAAATTTAAATAAAATAATGATTCATTTTCCTATAATAATTAACTGCATCTAAAGGAATTATTAATTAACATAAACTAATATATAAATTAATAATTATGCTAATTATCGAGTATATATCACAGTTTGTTAAAAATCCGGAAAATCCACATATTTTGTAATGACCATTAAGACGCTGATGGCCACAAGGGCGAGGCTGGAGGGTGTGGCGTCCGGTCCCCCTCTCGTGCATGACGCCAGTACTCTGTGTGTGTGTGGGGGAGGGGGAAGGTGTGAGTGTGGGGGGGGGGGAGAGGGTGTGTGTGGGGGGGGGAAGGGTGTGTGTGTGTAGGGGGGGAGGGTGTGTGTGGGGGGGGGAAGGGTGTGTGTGTGGGGGGGGGGGAAGGGTGTGTGTGTGTGGGGGGGGAGTCTGTGTGTGTGTGGGGGGGAAGGGTGTGTGTGTGGGGGGGAAGGGTGTGTGTGTGTGGGGGGGGAAGGGTGTGTGTGTGTAGGGGGGGGGAGAGTGTGTGTGGGGGGGGGAAGGGTGTGTGTGTGGGGGGGGAAGGGTGTGTGTGTGTGTGGGGGGGAGTGTGTGTGTGGGGGGGGTGTGTGTGGGGGGGGAGGGTGTGTGTGGGGGGGGATGGTGTGTGTGTGTGGGGGGGGGAAGGGTGTGTGTGTGGGGGGGGGAGTGTGTATGTGTGGGGGGGGGAGGGGTGTGTGTGTGGGGGGGGGAGAGTGTGTGTGTGGGGGGGAGTGTGTGCGTGGGGGGGGGGATGGGTGCATGTGTGTGTGTGTGTGTATGTAGGTGTGTGTGGGGGGGGGGAAGGGTGTGTGTGTGTGTGTGTAAAACGATTGTTTTCAGAGTTCTCGTCCAAGACACAAAGGCTTCTGCTGTCCCATCAACCTTGCACATTTTTAACCAACATTAAAATTCTTGATGGTTTAAGCTGTAACCTTGTCAGCGTCACGTGACAATACTCCAGCTCCTCGACGCTGGATTATAAAAGGACAGACACTCCCCTCACCCTCACACACACCTTCCGTCTTCACCAAAGAAACAACATACAGCAGCCATGAAAGTTCTGGTAAGTTCCCAGCTAAACTTTTCTATGACCAATGTAATACCAGTTGCGTTGCTCCTGGGAGTATGGGTTCGAGTCACTTCTGGGGTGTGAGTTTTCAGTTGCATATTGTCCTGGGGACCATTCAGGCTTGTTCGCATTTGTGTTCCTCACGTGTGCCCCAAAGAATGAGGTGATTTGGTAAAATGCTATGCCCAAGATTACTATCCGAGTGCCGGCGGTGGGGTGGTTCAAATAGCCTCGGCTATCACCTCATTTTGTCCGGTCGTGATGGTCAAGTGGATTAAGGCGTCTTGTACATACCAGTTGCGTTGCTCCTGGGAGTATGGGTTCGAATCACTTCTGGGGTGTGAGTTTTCAGTTGCATATTGTCCTGGGGACCATTCAGGCTTGTTCGCATATATATATATATATATATATATATATATATATATATATATATATATATATATATATATATATATATATATATATATATTATTATTAAATATGACCGAAAAAGTAAGATAAATAATTCTAACACGAATTTTCTCAATCTTTCGTACATTACGCTTCACTGTTGGAGGTAAATCAAAAATCAATTCTCCAAAATTCATTTTTATTTTGAAATGAATTTTGGAGAATTGATTTTTGATTTACCTCCAACAGTGAAGCGTAATGTACGAAAGATTGAGAAAATTCGTGTTAGAATTATTAATCTTACTTTTTCGGTCATATTTAATAATATATGTCTACAGGAAAGACTGCTACCAAAAATATACTATATATATATATATATATATATACATATATATATATATATATATATATATATATATATATATATATATATATATATATATATATAGATATATATATATCACTCTACAGGAGTGATGCTTCACTATATATATATTCCAGCTTATATATATATATATATAAGCTGGAATGCCCCAAATAAACAGGCTTTTTTATAAATATTTTGTAAAAAGGATGAACATGTTTTTCATCTGGTAATGAAGTATAAAGTAATACTATCCAAGTTTAAAGAACATTTGCTGGGGCAGAAGAACAATAGATGGTATTACAATACCTGTAATATTAGTGCAAACGTGTCAGTATACGATGCCAGGAGCATCATTTATTTATTTATAGAAGAACTGAGGGTGATGCTCAATATTATAATTGAAATATTAGTTAGTTTAGAATAACATTGGACTCTAACTAAGCACTTTCGTTCCCGATCACAACACTCAGAGAAATATTCCATCTTTAAATGAACTTTTACTGCATCGTAATAATTGTATGTTTCTGAGGTTTCAATCATATGTTTAATTGTAGATTTTTTGGAGTTAAATATTATTTTTTCAAATTTTATTAGCTTTATCTCAAATAATTCTGCATCTTCTAGAGCCTAAAAATTTTAGTAGGAAAACTATTTACCTATTAACTAACATTAGCTGCTATATTTTTTCTCATGTTCATATTGTGATCGTTTGAAAGATTAAATGTATTTTTTGTTGGGCAAGCTTACACTATCTCACCATATCTTACTCTCCAGCTAATGATATAATGTTGTGTGTACCGACAGATCATCGTCCTGCTGGTGGGTCTGGCAGCAGCAAGACCTCAACCAGAAGCTGACCCTAAAGCTGGCTTCGGTGGCTTAGGTCTCGGTCTCCCAGGTCTTGGCTATGGTCTAGGAGGTGGCTACGGTCTCGGAGGTGGCTACGGACTCGGAGGCGGATATGGTCTTGGAGGTCTCGGCTACGGAGGATATGGTCTCGGAGGCCTTGGAGGGTACGGTCTTGGCGGTGGTCTGTACGGCTAAGAGACTATACCTTCCTTCTGTAATAAGACAAGACCATCTTCATGTTTCAAAAAATCCCATTTCCATAGGCTGATAAAAATCTAACTTCCTCTTCATGTGTGTCATTATTGCATATGGTCATTACACAAATAAATTTATGATCAAGAGAATTTGTATTTTGTTTATAAAAATCCTCATAACAATTCATGTCTACTACTTTGAGTGTTAGTGAGTGTTCTCGTTAACCTTATTTAAGAGTGCTCTCTTTTATGAGTTGACACTTATATGAGACCCATTCCTCTTAAACATTAATCAACAGGAGTGATGCTTCACTAGCCTCATAGGCTAGTGATTATAAATTTATAGAAATTTTAAATCGGTGAATGTATTTTTAAATTATTACTTTCTATTATATCCACTTCGGCAGAACGGTAGAGTGACGATCTCGATTCTTTCTGGGTCAGTGTTTGATTCCTTTTAGTAAATGTGATTGTGGCATAGTTCCTTCATTCCGTTGTCATATCCAAGCATCTTTTTCTCATATTTCAGCCTTTCTTTCCTCATATCTCATTTTTTTATCATGATAAACCAGTTCCTGATTCTCATATCCATTCCCTATGTTATATAGTCATACCATTAAGAGCTTTTTCACTGTTCATGGAGAAAGAAAGCACAAATACACAACAATTCTTCACCTGAAAAAATCTTTGACATTGCCAACAGTGAAGTATATCTATATGAATTAGCTAAAATGGATATAGGTGGTCAAAAGGTACAATGGATACGATGTTATCTTACCAGCCGGAAGTGCTCTGCACTGTTCCAAGTGCACAAAATGAAACTAAATTAATGCAACTAGGCAACCCACAAGGAACGGTACAAAGGTATTTAACAGACAAACTGGTAATCACAAAGTGGACCACAAAAACTAAAGATTGATAACATTTCAATAAACTATGTCTCCTCTTTCGCAGACCTTGGTCTCTCAGTCCCTGGAACCTTAACTGCAGTCATAAAGTTACATCAACAATGGGTACAGCCGGCAATACGGTGTTAATATTAGAATTAGCAAAAATTATGTACTTAGCAAATGTTAGGTCTCTAACTATTATACACAAGTCTTAGCTCTACATCATACCAAAAATATTGATGTACTGGAAAAAATGCAAAACGAAGCCCTCAGAATTATACTTGGGTGTCCAGGCACTACCAAAGTTCTCAATATGCGATTAGAATTAAGTATACCTAGCACTCAAGATAGAATATTTGAAATCAATCTCATGATGTGACTAAAGCTAAACAATGATAACAAAACAACATTGTATCAGTTGAACTGTTAGAACACATTCGTAGTGGAGACTGGTTCCAGATGGATTCAAAGAACAGCCACTCACATTAAAATGGTATAATGGAACTGCACGATATATGTACAAATGAAAGAGTTCAGCATTTCCTTCCACCCTAGCAAATAGCAACTTTTGACATCCTGACGCCTACATACCCCAGAAGAAACTGATCACAAACAACCCTCATACTCAACTTGTTGCTAAATTCAGTACCATAGAACACATACACAACATACAGACAAAAACAACATCACACAAGCCATATACACTGACGGATCACTCAAAACAGCTACAAAAAGCGAGGGAAGTGCTTTTATTCTTCATCAGCCCGATGGAAGCACTTTGACGTTTCATAGACTTCAAAATTCTATAGCGAAAAATAGTATTATTTATAAGTTGTAACGTTCACTAGCGGAAATTGTAGTAATTAGTTATTATTATTATGAAAGCTGATAGTTACAAATACGTCTTCATTATTTTACAATAAATGCATTCCACGGTGACCAGAACAATTTATCTCCTTATCTTGAATATCAGAATTGCATTTTGAGTTTACAGCTGCCTGGTATGTCTCCAGCCTCTCGCGACGTGTGTAGATCGTCGTTAATTACTTACGTAGAACATCACGTCCTTCCTTCAGTACTCTTAGCGAGAGATAATTTTTGGTCTTAATTTACAGTGTCAGGTTCACTTAGGTGCTTCTTTATAACTTCGCCTCATCTCCAAACAAAGAGAGCGAAATATCATATATATTACTCACTCTTTAGAGGCATAAATGCAGGGAATATAAATGGGTGATGAAAGCAAAAAAAAGCGTTACACAACTTGTATCTAAGGATTGAAAATGGGCAACAAAATATTTAATGAGGAATTTTAAATAAGAAATGGCTTGGCATTAGTCGTATATGGGAGAATAAATCTGCCATGTTGCATAATTAAAGCAAACACCTTCCAAACCGAAGACACTGTAGAGTGTTATAATGATGCATTTACTTAGGAGTTTTAAAGGGATGAAAGATCGATACGGGAAATGCCGTAGGAGCCGTGAAGAGGATTCGAGCCTATGCGCTGGGTATTCCCAGACGCACACTCTAAACGACTCTCCTGTGGATTTTCTCATTGATCTTTCCTCATAATGTGATTTATCTGCATATCAATACGGGATATAATTGACAGAAATGTAAACGTTGCGGGAAAAAAAACACTCGAATACAGCCTACTATTTACTGAAACAATAGGGAAAAAATATTTAGTAAATGCATTACCTAAAGCAGCAAGAGGGAAGCGGAACGCATATCAGTGAACATAAGCAGTAATAAAACCAAACCAATGGCCATTAAAATGAGAACTCAAGACATCAGATTCGCAATACAAAGACACGAAATAAAATACAGCTTCCATTATTGAGAAAAAATAACATTTATGCCTTCCCAGACTAACAGAAGGGTACAAGTGCTGTATATAAATACAAGTGGGACTCAGAAGATTGTGCATTTTGAAGGTTACGATATATTTGACAAACAACTAGCACCCTCAGTTGGCACCTCACACTTACTTTGCAGGAAGGAAGATGTTTTGCAGTGATTATGAAATTTTAAATGAAAGCATCGGAGAAAAATAGGTATAACGCTGTGGTGAGAATTTCAGCCTTTGGAAGGGAGCCGGTCGGCCGAGCGGACAGCACGCTGACTTGTGATCCTGTGGTCCTGGGTTCGATCCCAGGCGCCGGCGAGAAACATTGGGCAGAGTTTCTTTCACCCTATGCCCCTGTTACCTAGCAATAAAAATAGTGGGTGAGAGCTGTCACGGGCTGCTTCAGCCTGGTCGGAGAAGCTGTGTTAGACATGTGTAACTGTGTAACGCCACAGACATCTTACATATAAGCATATGTGAATCATGTACAATAGCAGTCACTACACCTACTATCATCTCGGGTTACTTCAACGCTCATAGTGAGTTACTACTTGATTCACCAAGAACTGATGCCAAACAGAAAACATATTGAACAACTTTTGGATGAAGTGCCTGATATTTAATTCGACGGATCCAACCCACACTAGTGGAGGGGGGGGGAGGAATCTGGATTTCTTTGTTTCCACCAGTATTTATGAGTTGTGTCATTGGTCAGTTGACCATGTACTGACTAGTGTCCACTTTGCTACAAAAACAGTTATTAATATAGCACTACCTCCCAGATCTCCAGCTCCTGGGCCCGGATGGGACTTTATCAAAGTAGATTGGACGAAGTTTCAGGAATCTCTCGAAACTTGGCACCAAAACTGCACTCCTCCTGACAACACCGAAGAAATGGAAAAATATTTGATAAATGAAATACATAGAGCAGCAAATCACACCATCCCCAAGAGGAAAACAATTACACAACAATATAAGGACAATTGGTATTACTGTGATAGAATCAAAGAACTACATAACAGACTAAAGAATTTTAGAACAGACAGAACCGAAGCTAATCTAGGACTTCTTTGAGCGGTCCATGATCATGTGCACGAAGAAACAACAAAAATAAGAGAAGAAAAATGGCTTGAGTGGTGTGCCAGGCTAAATCAGCATACAGCCTTGGGCGACATTTAGAGGCAGATTAACAGGGCCAAAGGAAACTCGCCTCCTGCTCCACCCCATCATGTTCATCCAGAGCAAGAAACAGAAAGATTCGCAAATCTATTTGCTTCATGAGCCAGTTCCACTCAACTTCCTCAAGCAACTCTGACTCACCAACAAACACTTCAAGCAGTAAGATGAAAAAAAACTAGATGATGCTTTAGCCTTACCTGACAAACTAGACCAACTTTTCAATATGAAAGAACTCAGAAGAGCTTCAAAAGAAACTAAAAACACAGCTCAGGTGAGGAAAAATCACTTACAACATGCTGGCCAAGTTAAAAGGAAAGGGTGAAGAAGCCTTCTGGAATCTCATGAACATATTATAGGTAACAAGAACTCGACCACTTTCTTGGAAAAACGCAATTATAGTGCCCATTCCAAAACCCAAAGACCCATCTCATTAACAAGTTGTCTGGCCAAAACTGCAGAATGACTAGCTCATTCCTTCTCTCCTCTGAATGAGAAAAGCATTTTTCCTTTATCCTCCTCATTGAATGAGTATGGCCTTCCTCCGTGTCCTTCTGGATGTCTAGGAGACAAGTTCTCGTAATACTGGAAAACTAAGCTTGGGAAATAGTTACCAGAGTGCTAAACTAATTCATTAAATTTGGGGAACTTTGAACACTTTCCATGAGAGTAATGAACAGACATATAAAAGTTTAAACAGAACTACAGCATAAAGTAGATAAGAATTAGATCAAATATCCCATATGTGTCCGCTTCTACCCCCGTCCAATCCATAAACATTATACAAAAGTTAA